TTTTTTCTTGGAAGGAGTACTGTGGGGACTTCTGGGTGGAGAAAATGAGAGTGAGAGCAGGACATATGAAGCAATGTTGGTGAATCATTAGTAAAGAGGAACTGAGGGCAGCTATGAAAAGGATGAAAGTGGAAAGGCGGATGGTCCAGATGACAACCTGTAGAGGTATGGAGATGTCTAGTAGAGCGAGCAATGGACTTTTTGACCAGACTGTTTAACAGAGAATGCCTGGATGAGGTCAGATACCTGGGGTCAACCATCCAAACCAATGGAGAGGGGACAAGAAAGGTGAAAAAAAGAGTGCATGCAAGGTAGGAGGCCAGTGTTAGGGGTGATTTGTGACAGAAGGATAGCAGCGGGAGTAAAGGGTAAGATTTACAAGATGGTAGTGAGACCTGCTATGATATATGGCTTGGAGCTGGTGTCACTGAGAAAAAGATAGGAGGCTGAACTGGAAGTGAGACAGCTGAAGATGTTAAAATTTTTCTTTGGGAGTGAGCAGAATGACAGGATTAGAAATGAGAATATCAGGGGGGCTGAGCAGTTTGGAGACAAAGTTGGAGGCAAGTCTGAGATGGTTTGGACAAATGCAGAAGAAGGGACAGTGGGTATATTGGACAAAGGATGCTGAAAATGAGGTAGCGCACAGAGAAAATGCATGCATAGGGATTGGTGTGACAGAAAAGGATGCTATGGATAGGGTGAGATGGAGCATCCACTATGGTGCCCCCGAAAACGAACAACTAAAAGATGAAGAACAAAAAAGAGGATAAATTTTATTTTACTTGATTTGAAATAAATCAGACACCATGTTATGTCAAAACATACAACAAGGAAAACAACAGAAATTATGGCCTCCCTGAGATTTATATTCATGAATATGATTGTCATTACTTCAGAGAACGTCACAGCTGGTGTACAAAAAGAGGTATGAAAGCCATGTTTGTCTTTAAAATTTAATAGATCATTGAAAATTACTCGGTTCACCTACTTACATAGCAAAATAATTAACTTTCCACATCAAGAAAGTAGATAAAATTCCTACAACTGCACATTCTTAGTTTCCACAAATAATAATAATAATTTCAGTTTCTAAAATGTAGATTCCTCATCCTTTGCATGGCTTCTGTTTCTTGCACTGAGTGGAGACATTTCGACTTCAAAGGTTTTGTCAAACGCACTGCAGTCCACGAGGAATGCTCCTTTTTCCAGGGAAATGCACGAAGCAAATCGGTGACCCCACAGAATCTCATCCTGTGTGTAGGATGTCCTTGCCTGGCATGTCATACCTGCAGAAAAGCATCAGCGGGTTAGGAACCGGTCACTTTATTGGAAAAAGATCCAACAGATTTTATCAGGACATAACTTTATTGTGTGCAAGTTTACATGAAAGCACATCTTTTTCTCTGCATTTATGCACTTTAGCCAGCACTGAGCCATAAGAATAAAGTTTTTTTATGAACACAAATTTGTTAATATTTTAGATAGTGAACAGTAACAGTAACCTTTTTCTTAGTTGGTTTCAGTTTGCCAACCACTCAAACAACACAAAAAAACTACCACAAAGCAGCTTTATGAAGATCTATGCTACTGTACGTGTTACTGTAACATTACAAAAACAACCAGTAAACATCACAACAAGCAATAAAATCCCAGTTTAATAATAACACACATACTTAGCTCTTTTCAAAAATGACAAACAATCAAAGTTGTAAACGTAGCTGTATCCGTATTAAACAGCACAAGCACAACATTTCTACAAACCTGATGCCTCCACAATGCCTTCCAGGATAACGATAATCTCCAGTGTCTCCCTCTTCAAGCGCTTGGCCCCCACCTCCCAGAAGGGACTACTGTCATTGATGATATGGGCAATGGTTTGGGGCTCTACCAGGAGAAGCCTGTCTCCTCCAGTGTCATAGCCCAGATTGATCTCTGTCTGCTCCAGTGGGATGAACTCTCCCTCCTTGGTCTGCCTGGATTTGATCAGCTTGGCTCGGATCTTGGCGTCCACCATGTGGCTCTCTCGAAGGTCACCTATGCGGAAGAGCAAGCAGAGCTTCTCGTCACGCTCACAGATGACGCAGTGTTTGCTGAAGATCAGTGTCTGGGCCCTCTGCTGTGGTCGGGAGATTTTAACGAACATACAGCCCACCATCACGGCATCGATAATGGAGCCGGTGATGGACTGGACCATCAGGAGCACCACACCCTCAGGACAATTAGCTGTTACCCTCCTGGTGCCGTACCCAATAGTCCTCTGGGTCTCCAGAGATAGCAGCAGGGCTGAGAGGTAGCTGTCCACATTTTCAAAGCATGCCTGCCACTGGGAGTCGTGGACGTGTGCAATGTCGTCACGTAGCCAAGCATCTAAGAAGTAGATTGCACCAAAGGACATCCATGTGAGGATGTAACAGGCAGTGAAGACGAGAAGGAACCAGAGATATTTAAGATCTACTAATGTGGTGAAAATATCTGAAATGAAGCGACTCTTGTCTTTAATGTGCCCCAGATTAACCCTGCACTTGCCGTCCTTGGTGACGTAACGCTGGCGCTGATTGTTGGTAGTGACACATAGAGGCTGCTCGTCTCCCAGCAGCTTGCAGCGCCTCCTGAAGCTCTTTGCACTGTGCCGCTTCTCTGTTGGAGAGAGAGCAATGTTGCCCCTGAAGGTTGATTGCCATTGAGAGCTCAAACGTTTAAAGTGTTTGTTACGATGCATGTGCAGAGATTTCGATGTGTCTTCTACTGATTCTAGAGGAGTTTCTTGGATGACGTCCTGTTGATGAACCTCATGCTCAGCTGGAGCGAACACCTGAAAGGAACTCTCAGGTGGACACTGAGGGCCCTCTTGGGATGGTGGGGGTGATGAGCAGTTAGTGATCATCATGGATCAAAGTGAATTTATCTGCAACCTGAAATTGCAGAAAATATTACATAATATTCACAATATTCCAAAAATATTGCAGAAAAATGTGGATATGGATGATGTGATGTGGCCAACAATGATTCAACATTGCACACAGTTCATGCTTTATTGTCGGGGAGAGTTAGTGGACACAGAACAGAGTGGTTGAGTAAACCAATGGCTCTAGTTGTGTAGACGTTCAGAAACCAAACCAAGCATCATAGTGAAAAAGAAAGGTAATATATGTGACTTCAGACATGACATGGTTGTTGGCTGAAACCACGGGAACGAGTGTCACAGACAGAGCACTGAGGTCAGAAAGCATTTAGTCAAAGTTTACACAGGATTTGTTACAACAATCTTTTAATACTTACAAACAGATAAGTAAGTTACTGAAAATGTTCATGTAGGTATTTTTTTTAAACCAACAAGAAAGTAACTATTATTCTTTATTGGCACGATAGATAAATAAAACATGACTCAGTGTCGGAGCTACATTTTAAGCAGGGCACAAACAGGTTGTGTGGAAAAAAGAAAGGAATTGGTTTTCAGTAGCAGCAACATTTCTTCTAGTACTTCCTTAACAGCATTTTCCACAGGAGACACTTTGGCATGTCACAGTAAGAAAAGGTCATGGGTAAATGGTTAAGTAAAAGGGGTATTGAACTTAATGGATCCCTGTCACACTGTCAAGTCATAGTATGAGACTGGGACACAAAATTAATAAAACTATTGTTAACAGTAAGTGTTTGAATTGCATTATTAAGCGTGCAGTGATGCAAATGTCTACACTGGTGAGGTTACATATCCACCTCTGACTGGCTGACAAATGTATTCAGTGCAACACGTACAGTATATTAACTTGTCACTTTGTGTATGTCGTGAAAAGTTCTCACCCCTAAACTTGTGCACTTGTTAGAAGTCTAACTTCCATTCTAAAGTAATTTAAATTAATTTAAAACACCAATCAAAATAATAAATCTGGTTCTTGTCATTCTTTTACTGAATCGAGAGAACATGACTTAGTCAAACTATTTATAATTATTTTATTTAATCATCTTCCGGAAGAGAGAGACATGCACAGCCCAAAGCCATTTTGCAGATCTCTAGCGTTAGAAACCAAAAATGGTTTGTGTTATTTTGGTCCTTTCACGTCACACATAGTTTCGTTAAAAACAACTCCTTCCGTGTTACTTAGTTCCTACTTAGTTCTGTCTGGTTTCCTGTATATGCATCTGCAGCTCTGCACTAAACTTCCTGTTTTTCAGTCTGGCTGAGCACTTGGTTTATGAGTCAAAGCTGCCTTGCTTTACAGGCCTTTATTATTAAAATACATAAAACAATATAATCTAAATAAAAAAGGACTAAGAACATATATTTATTCTTTAACTATATTTACTTATTCATGCTGCCAGGTCATCCTCTATTTATATTAAGGTGATTCACGAGGTGACCTCACATGCAGATCAGCATAACAGCAGGTTTCATCTGTCTGAAGTGGGCTGATCAGTCACCGCTGCAACTTGTTGCAAATGCAGGGATTGTCCTAATCCTTAAAATTAATCTGAACTACACCAAAGAATACAAAGGATTTGAAAAGATTACCAACTGTATTTGCCTGAAGGCTTAAATCTAGAAAGTAGTGTCCAGATGTGGCCAAAATTCATCTTGACTACACGTGTGCCCCATCTGTGTAATACATTTACAGCTATCAACCAACATGAGTCAGGGAGACAAGATTTTACTACAAGGAAACATTCCAAAACAAATAACAACTTACAATCTTAAATCTTTTTAGCCCATTTATGCTTTAGAGTTGCTTAAGGATTTTGAGCAACTAGTAGCTGTTTGTAGATGAGGGTGTCGCATATCTCACGTGTTGTATTGATAATATAAACACACTTAGCAAGATTTTTGTTTTAAAAATAAGCATCAGCCATATGTGATAATTGTTAAATAAGATGTAGTCTATAAATAAAAAGTAAACTATTATAAAATATAGTTTATATAGTTTAACAATGATAAAAAAAAAAAAAATACTGTGTTACAATAGCCAGTTGCATAGAAAATGCAAAAAGTGCCAACCTCAATAAATCAATATAATTTAATATGAAGCTTAATTATGAACTCAGTCCAGACATTTTGTAAGGTGCAACAGTGTAAACAAGTATGGTGGTAATACAGATTGATATTCAATTAGTATTATCTTCTACAACTTTGTAACTTTAGAGGTTTTATATAAACAATAGTCATTTCCATACATGTTGAACTGTTGTGGATGGGTTTTAGTTTTTTTTCTTCCTTTTTTGTTTCATTTTCAATGTAACCAGTCCTTGTGATGTTTTTTGTAACTACATTTACAATACGTTAATACTTAGTCAAAAAATATTTTGAGTAAAAAAAATTACATTGCCAAATATTCCATGTTATTTTAAGCTGACCTCATGGTGCACTCAGACTGACAGCTACTCCAGGCAATGAAAACCTGAAGTAATTCGACAAGTACAGTATGCATGTATTATAAAAAAATTTAATGAGTTATGTATATGTAGCGTAGTTTAATCAATAAGGGTACTGACAGAAAATAATTCACCCACATTAGACTGTTTTTTTGTTGTTGGTTTTGACAGGTAATCTTTGATGTTTCCCTCAATTTTCACTTTTTTTTTTTTTTACATTTTCCATATCCAATCAGTTAACCAAATTAATCCAAATGTATCATCATGAATAAAAATTAATTTAATTTAGATTCCTGTGAAAACAAGCATTACAACGTTATACCACACAACAGTGTATCAGTTTTCTATTGCTTAAAATACAGGACAAGTAACTGAGTAAGTTTAGATAAGGAAAGCAAAGACAGTAGTAATGTCTTATAGATTGAGTTCACATGTTCAGATTTATTTACTGAAAACGTGAAAACCCCACATACCTCTGCAAAGCATGTCTTAAGATGAACGCTGCTGCTGGTATAATGTAACTTCCTTCAGCTCATCGGGGTAATCAAATGGAGGAGGAGAGAGTTTAGAGTGAAGAGCTGCTGCTGTGGAGCTATGCAGCTGTTTGTCTCCTCCCCCTCAATCGTTCAGACCACAAACACTGACAACAAAATGTTTTTTCATTCTTACAGTCTGCTTTCATAAACCTAATATGATTCACGGTGCATTCAAAAGCCTGCAACAGTTTTTGGAACATTTCAGCCCAGATACTCTCACCCTAGTCAGATAATTTAATCAGCCTTGAACATAATAAAACCTGGGTGTATTCTTTAACTTTTGTAAAGCGATTTGTTGAAATGAAGCTGGAAAAAGTTCCACAAAAGCATGGACACTTAAGGCTGTTTTATAGGTCATCTATCAGTGGTGGCAGCTGTAAATGAAACACAGACCTGACCGAATACAATACAGGGATCAAATTAACAAATATAACTTACAAAAATAAGCTGCTACTATATTCTCTGCATACTGAGCATTATGAAGTTGTATGATGGCAAGACCTATCACCAAGAACGCTCATCATTTCTATTCATCAAGAACAGCCTGGACAAGGTCTCGAAAAAATTGAGTGTTTTGGTTTATTTGGTTAAGTTATATCAGAACACACAGACACACATGGAAAAATTCAGTTTCACTGCTCGAACAAGAAAATTTGCAATACTAAGTCCAAGATCCAGAGCAGGTCTTTCACAACATAATGGTCCTTTAGAGGCGCTTAGGTTCAAACAAATAAACTCCTGAAATCACATCAGTAAGTTTGATTAATGAAGTGCAGCAAAGTTACCCTGAATACGGCATCATGTGTCAACGGAGGACAAGTTTCTGGTTACACAACCTCAGGGGGCTGGGGAGTAATAAATCCCCAGTGACAACACCTCAACCATTTCTGTGATGAGCTGTTCAGCCTGTATACATGTAAATGTTTATATTTTATGCAAATAACAGAAAATAGAAATGAATAAAGGCAAAGAGTCCTTATTTTCCACAGTGGAAAAGTGCTCAGGTATCTTGTTGGGATTTTTTTTCTTTCCAAGAATCTATTTGATTTTGGCCAAAGCTGCAGCTCTCCTCTCCGTATTCTGAAACAAAGCTCGGATCAGATTCTTCACCTCCGAACTGGAGAACTCCAAAGCCAGCGGACCTTTACTGTCAGCCCACCTATGGAGACGAATCAGAGACAAGTCAGACAGCCACACACAAGAGAAAAATATAGTAAGATAGTTAGATCTTCCAGTCAAAGACTATTAATGGTCCCACAAAGTCATTTTAAGACCGGGGGGATAAATCCTTTAGAACTGTGGCCCCCTCCAGCTTTAAGAAGCAGCTGAAGAGTCATTTATTCAGACTGGTTTAACTAGTTTTAGGCAGTATGATGTTTTATGTATGCCGTTATACATATTATGTGTTTATCTTCTGTGCTTTTTTTTTTTTTAATATGCCAGTTTTTACTGTAAAGCACTGTGGATCCCCCCCATGAAAGCTACTGGATAGATAAATAAATAAATAAATATGCATGCATGCATGCATGTAAAAGCAGACTTATAAAAATTTATTGATGGAGAAATATCACTGTAAATTCCTACATACTAACTTTTTTTTATAGCTATAAAAATATGACACCATCACACTTACAAACAAGCCATTAATTTAAAGGCTGAATGGATTAAAAGTAATGACAAGCCACTGTTACACCACACCTTTCTGTTATTTTCTGTGTTGTGAAGTTTCTTTCTTACCTGTCAACGATCTCCTGCAGATTGGCCTGCAGCACGATGACGAGCTCCTTGAAGGTGCCCCACTTCTTCACATAGAGGGGCACTTCCTCCTGATATTTCTTATTCTTCTTTTCCTCAGCCAGAGGGATAAAGACCAGCGGGCCTTCATCAATTATAGTTTGGCACAAAGTCTGGAGATGGTTCCCATCCTCAGAGGAAATGTCCTATAGTGACAAATACAATCCTTATTAAAGATTAAATACGTCAACTCTGAGCATGTAACACACTAGTATTAGAACCTGAATATCATATTTCATCAACCAAAGACAGCATCTTATTAGGGCTTTATTATGACAAATGTTTATTTGCTTGATTCGTCAACTTTAATTTCAGTAACACAAACCTCTAGCATCATGACTTTGGCAGTAACTTCTGTGATGGCTGTGTTGAGGAGGTTGCCCATGGCTTTACAATAGATGCTGACCGGAAGGACATCCTGCCAGACTGTACCCAACTGCTTCAACTGATGAATAACCTGCAATCAAACAAACAGATGAGTGGAGCATGAGTAAAAAGCACTGCACAGCCTTAGGGGTGAAAATAGAAATGGACTAACAAGTATGTAGTGCTTTCCTAGTCTTACTGACCACTCAAAGGACTTTGAATCATTATTTACATTATACTCATTAACTATTTAATAAGGATATCAATTAAGAAAGCATTTCAACTGCCCCGCATGGCTCTGATGGAATTGATCCCCCCATTTAGACACCCCCATTTACCACAGTCTTTGAAAAGCCTTATTGGAAGGTGTAACTTAACCTCATACGCCTCTTTTCCACTAGCACCTATCTGGCTCAACTCAACTCCTAGTGTTTTCTATCAAGTGGTACTACCTGGAACCGGGTACTTTTTAGTACCACTCGGCCGGGGTTCCAAGCACCCAGGAGTCGAGCCGAATGGCTCTCTTCTTTTTCCTTAAGCCAAAGACCCAGCAGCAGACATTCCTCAGTGTCCTCCATCGTTGTGTTGCATTTGTGACACATACAAATAAGGTCACGGGCCTCCTTGCTCTAATGACCCCAGCTACACTGAGGTTATACTCAATTATAGTTCTTAAACTACAAAACCGAGTTTAGTCGAGTAAGAACAAGTGGAAAAGAGGCCTGATGTTGATATACTTCTATTCAAACCTTCTTCTAACAACAGTGCTAACCACCACACCAGCTCGGTGCCCAAACTCTTTTTATATAATGAGCATTTCTCCCCACTCACCTGCCGTACTGCTTTGCTAGCTGCAGTGTAGTTATCTTCATCATCCAGGTTGCAGAAATTGTGAGCAGTGGAAAGTCGCTCCAGCAGTTCAGCTCTCTGAACATTCAGCTGGGCTAAGAAGCATTGGGCACCTGCAAGAAAAAGAACAAAAAGGGATAAATGTTTTTGGAGAGTTAAGTGTGCTCATATTTCAAAGCAAACTGTAGATTGAATGCTGGTCCTTGGTAGGAAACTTTTGCCCCGATTTTGCCATAAAACCCCTTTCTCTCTTTGGTCCAGCGTGACAGAAACTTGAAATCAAATCTTGAGTATCTGAATCATTAATAAATTGCATCTGGCAACAACAGAGGGCAGTTCATAGTACAACAATTCATGACAGAATGCTTACCCAGTTTCCTGAATCCTGGCACCATGTCAACAAAAGTTGCGACGCCCTCGCTGAGAGGCTGCGGCAGGTGGTTTCTGAAATGGTGACCCAGGGTGAGTAGATGATGGGCCAGGTACATGCAGTTGTTGTGCTGGATGGCAGCTAGGTGAGGAAATTTGAGCAGGTTTTCCCTGAGTAACAGAGAAACAACAGTTACTCATTTACATTTTCGCAGTACATCTACTGCTTTTGTCCGTCACATGTTACGTGATGGAAACAGCCTTACTTGTGGTACGTTGGCACAACATCGTAGAACAGCTGGAAAATGTTTCTCACAGTGAAGAAGAGCTGCAAAGCACTGCAAAGAAGAACAGTTTTCAAATTGAGTGCGTAAAGAATCAACCTTCCCTGTGCAGTGTATAGTCTATATATAAATAAAAGGATATTTTGACCTATTTTGGACAGAGGTATTGAAATCACACTGAAGCGGCTACAGCTAAGGGACAGTCTTAGATTTCTCATTGTAGAAAAGCACAGAAGGATTATTATCAGGACTCAAGCATACATCAACACAAAACACAGTGAGCTCTCTCAGAACTGTAACAGACCTTTGTGTTGAGCTCCCAACAGCTTCACACAGAGTGTCGAGTGCCAGCTCCATCAGCTGCTGCACTGACTCACTGATGCGACAGGCTGGCAGCCTCAGACTCCACGCAGACAGCTGCTTTGAGTTCTCCATTGTCACCTCCTCCTTTAAGCTCTCTGGCTTGACCTTGCCCTCTGAACTTGGAGCTGGCAGCTTGGGGAGGCGAAGTTTTGAGTCTGGTGTGATCTATTAGATAAAGTTTGTAAGAAGGAAATAATTTGCAGCAGGGGTAATTACAAGGGTAATCACACATGCATGTAATTTTGTACAACTCAAGTGGAATAGTTATTTAAATGCATCTTCACACAACAGTTTTTGTAGCATATTTAGGAGGTGGCCTGATGAAAACCATTTAATCATTTTTACACAAAGATCTTAATAATAAGGAAAACTTCACAATATTAGCTAAAAATTACAATATAATTCCCTTTTTGACGTTCTGTGGAATGTTTTTCACATTATGATAAGAGAACACACAGACACTCAGCCTCACATACTTTGACTGTGTTATGCATCTTTGAGGTCATGAGTTTACGGGCTGCTACAATGACGTCCTTGCACTTCTTGCTGGCAAAATGACAGTTAACATCTCTGGCATATTTGAGCAGGTCTGTGGAATCACCCTGCAGATACTCCATCTCCTTTAGAGACTTCTCAAACTCCTCTGTTTCCTTTATCACCTTCAACACGAAAAGAGAACAAATACATAGTAAAAATGTAGTTCCGTGTATTATAATATTATTATACTAGACAAAGAGCTGTTAGGTCCATACAGTGTTGTATTTCTCCAGCTGGCTGCTGTTGGTGGGAATGGAGTGGACAAGGCAGTCATGTATGATGGTGTGGGACATTTCCTCCCAAATCAGCTCTCCCAAGATAGCGGACAACTTTTTATCACCAATCGACACGTCTGGAAAATAATAAACAAGTGACTTGTCTCTTCAACAAGACTCAGATGCAATATTTAAGGTTAGCATGGATAATTTCTCCTCATATTCAGTCTGTCATTGCTTTCTATGTAACGACCCCAAAAGATGTAAAACCCAGTATGTGTTTTACAACCAGTACGTGCAGCCATACTGTACCTAGGAGGTGTGAATGAAGCGTCTTGAGCACCAGCAGCAGCTTGTTGTAGACCTTTGAAGGTGCGCATCGCTCCTCATCGCTCTCCTCCAAACACTGCAGGGCCAACGTGGTTCCCTCACCCTGCTGCTCAGTCACTCTCACAGACAGAGACGCGTACATCACCAACGGCTTCAACATGTTCTTCAAAAGCACCTGACCTGAATATCAACAGAAAGCATAAGTGAGCGGGGTTCTGACCTCAGGTACATTGTGCTTCAGAGCTAAATAGATTAACCTGGCTGACTCACTTGAGAAAGGAAAATTATGTTATAAAAATTGCAGCGCTGTACCACAAATATGGTATAGAACAGTCACACATTTATCATAAATATTTTAAATGAAATAAAGTACATACAAAGTATTATAAACATTTTAAAAGGACACAAAAGCACTGCTGCTTTATGGTGGTGCTGCTTCTTCTTACTGAAGAGTTTGATCTTGTGCTGAAGGTCTCCCTGGATGGCCAGAGCTTGCAGGACAGAGCTCAGTAGTGTAGGTGGTTTCAGTTCGCCATCCTTACTGCAAGCACTGCTCAGTTTCAGCTCCACCTTCAAGAAAGACATCTCCCCTGCAGGCTCTGGGAACACACACCCAAAAGCTACAGCTCAAGTATACTTTAAGATTAGCTTATAAAATCTAACTAATGTGTTCAAGCCTGTTGGGCACAATCATGGATAACTTTCTCACCTGGAAAAAGGTGAGAGCTAGTTAGCAGTAGAGCTTGGCTTATTTATTTAGCACATGAAATGTGGAAAAGAGTGGTACCCTGTTTTTTCAGGATGTCTTACCCTTTGTGGATGGTAACTTCCAGATGACGAGGCGCTTCCATTCATCTCCCAGGTGGTAAATGAGGTTCTCTCTCTGCACTGTCAACTCAGAGCTGAGAGCACTGAGGAGCGGCAGCTCAGAAGTCTTCCAGCGCTTCAGTGACCCCACACTTTTTCTTGCCTTCAATAAAAATATGACCCATGAATTAGTCTGTTTATGTCCACTCAGCTACCGAGAGAAAACATCTTACACAGCCAACAAGACAACAACTGTGGAACAGCCATCTCTTTCAGTCTATTTAACACAGTTGTTTGGGGTTCTCTTTTTGTATAACTGAACAGCATTGTTAGTGCAGCGTATCCGGTCACAGTAACTGACACACACAAAGACCCCAAAGGAACTAAAAAAATCTTTTAACAATGGCCCATTTTATCATGGTATTTGTGTGATTGTATTTGTTCTGCCTCATCTTTACTGACACAGTCATGCCTTTTCTTCTATTTTTTTTTACTTTAGTTTTCCAGCTGTACTTCACTTAAAAGGCACTGTATAGGCTCACTGGGGTGAATTGCACATTGGATTAGTTATGTCACAAAAATGCCATTGAGTGAAAAGGCCAAACATAGCTACCTCTGTTTGAATTAACTACAAACAGCATACAACACTGACTGGAAGTGCTTTGTTCTTTTTGGAACAGCTTTTATTATAATCACATTTATTTCAAATATATTGTAAGCTAACTTACAATATATTGGCAAATATGATCAAGTCATTACACCAGTTTTCAGTCACCCTCTGCTTTTTTCACCTCCACATTCTGTATCACTAAATATTTTAACTTGTTTTTTAAACATTAAAACACATTTCTGTTTATCAAAATGAAAGGAAATGAAAGAACTTGTTAAGTAAGGTAACACAGACTTATTACCTTAACAGTAAGTAGAATAAATTAAATACCACTGGACTGATGGTTAATGATTGACTTTCTAGTAAGTTGAGCACTCAAAAAGTCTCAGAAGCTCACATTTATCTATGCCTAAGCACCAAACTCCAATGGATGCTATTCACAACTCAAGGTTTGGGATCTTGCTCAAGGACACTTTGGCATGCGAACTGGAGGAGTCCACGACTGAACCTCTAACCTGCTTTACCAACTAACCTGGGGCTCATGTGTGCAGTCACCTTAAAAAGACCAATTTTTGAGGCAGATAAATGCTGGTTTAGCGCTGAGTATTGTTTAAAGTAACCTAAGGCTGTGTGGACATGAATGAAGCAGCTCTTACCCTTTCCAGCCGGTTGGCAGCATCCACATACTTCTTCTCCAGTAAAGCCTTGTTGAATTCTTCCATTGCACTGTGAAACTGAGTCACACGGCAGATACGTCAG